TCCGAGTTTTTGCTTCCCTATGCACATGCCAACTACGGTCTAGACTATATCTTCCAACAAGATAATGCCAGCATCCACACCTCAGCCCGCACTAAGGACTTTTTTGCGGACCAGGAAGTCAAGGTGCTCGACTGGCCGTCTAAGTCACCCGACTTAAATCCTATTGAAAACCTAGGGTCAATAATGAGCCGGCGCGTTTACAGGAACGGTAAGCAATTCGACAAGGTGTATGATCTGAAAGAAGCCCTATTCGAAGCTTGGAATTCCATCCCTCTCGCTTTGCTGCAGTCACTGGTAGAGTCAATTCCGCGTCCCTGCTTAGCGGTTGTTGCCGAGAAAGGAGATAGAACGACTTACTAAGCTTTAAATATACTTGATTTTTGTATAGTCTGTACTGTCCGATCTGATCTGTCGTGGAGCTGAAAGTGGAAAGTTGTATTGGAGGTCTCCCACAGCGGCTGAATATGCGCTCGTTAGCGCTACTAGGCTTTTCCTACTGTCAACAACTCGCATATATCTAAATAGTATGGCCTAACTCGCAGTATTGACGGCGCTAGAGCACCGTAAGTGGGTGTCCGATGTGATCTGTCGCGCAGTGTATACCTGGGAGATATCTGTTGAATATCCCTGGATGGGAGCGATGCTCTTTAATGTTTTAGATTTTGTAACTTGATATCGTCGAAGAGTGAGTCACAAACCTACATACCAATCCATGCAGAGGGCCTCGTACAATTACAGCTCAAGCAGGACACTCCTGCGATGCTGAGCTCACCACTCAGTCACGTTCTGTTTCAAAAGGTAGTGTGCACTGACAAACCTTAAGCACGTCACAACTAACCAATCAATGCTGTCAACGACCGTAAAATATTCTTGTTAGAAGCTGCCGCGAGTACTCTGTCGACAGATGGCAAGAGTGATATTGCGGCGAGCTGGGGGATCGAAAGACTTGTGCCGTACGTCTTGGTTTTGTGTTGCGATATCCTGGTGGCGGTTTCCAAACTCAGTCGAGGCCAAACAGCTCGATGCAGTGGTGGCTCTGGCTACTAAATACCATTCATAAAGAAGCATTCACCTGAGTACAAGTACGTCCTTGCATTAAAAAAAATTCATAGTTCCTATCCCACCTTTAGTGAAGGATTTCAACCCGAGATATGATTCATTTCGGGAAAAGGTCCCATCACTGAATAAATTTCCACAACGGTACTAGTACAGACGATCCCCTAAGTAGTCATAGCGTTGGGAGCTACCAATTTATTCCTGTCTAAGGGTATTCCTATCCACGAATGTACTATAAAATGGATCCGAGTACCTTCAGTTTGGAACAATGCACAAAATATACTAATTGAGAAGACTGATGTAGCTCGTTACTGGCGATTCCCCATGTTTTGTCTCACCACACACCTCCTCTCTAGCCCAGCCAGAGCCAGTCCACATTACACTCACCAATACTCAACGACTGCTGGACAAATATGCTGGCACCATTCTCACATAGTTTGTCCCAAACAGAGCTAGATGCAAGGGCTCACAGAATCTACGGTCTTCCTCTGGTTCGTTACAAGCAACGATATGGATATTGATACGCTGAAAAGCACTGGACTCACTTCCGATCTCGCAGTTGGCCACCAAATCGCGGCACGAGGCGTGCGCCAGGCTACACCCGACCAGGTACTTGCCAGTTGGGTTTCGTGGAGTGAAGATGGTGTTGCCGTCACAGGTGTGCAATTAGAGTGAAGGTTGAGCACATTTCCGTGATCCCAAAGTTTGAATCACGTCCAAAGTAGCCAAAGATCTTCATCAGTTCAACATTCGGATCGTGGCAGCAACAATGCTCTTGTGCAGTTATGAATTTTCCATAGTTAAGCACCCCAGAATAGGAGTATTTGACTTCAAATGCATTCCATTTTACGTTTGAGGGGTGAGAGGGAATAATATCGTGGGTTTGTATGTGACTGGTCAACGGGAACCTCTAATTTATTGCTGTTGAGGGAGTATACTATTTCTAGGGATTACTACCGAGGGGATCGTCTGTTATACGTGGAGTGGAAGTCGAAGGATCGATGGAAACTGGCTCAAGGAGCTTTGAAAGCTTTTGTTTGGACCAGAAAGCATAAAGGATGCACTGGTGTTGTACCCAGCTTCCATAAACAAGCGGTTAGGGGGGGGGATCAAAACGTGTGCGGCTACATAATGATTTGACATGACGTGAAACGGCTTTTTCCCAAAACAGGGACCACATTTGGCTAATATTCCCAAAGTAGGGACCAAGTCTCAATGCAGGGACCTGAAACCAATTATAATGTGGACCACTGACAGATCAGAATCGAAGAGACACCCTAAAGAGCGACAACAACTCGTCCTTGGAACACAGCTCTTCGGTCAGCAACAGTTCCACTGCCAGTGCCTACAGCACCACCGCTAGTAATTCTTCTTCTTCAACAGCATCGCACCGCAGACAACAACAACTACAGCTCCGCCGTCGACGACAGCTCCTAAGTTGAACAAGTACAGCGCCGCATCTAGTAACTGCCGCTTCTCCAGCAACTAGAACCCGGTAACCAGCATCTACTCATACTCCACCGACCACGACTCGACCGTCAGCATCTAGCATCTACTAGCACTACCGCCAACAAGAATTGCAACGCTTCAAGCCACTACAGCTCCATTATTCGACGACAGACCAGTCTTCTTCAGCGACAGCAGCTCTGTCACGAGCTACTACACGGGATAGGCCTACACCCTTTCGAGAGCACCCGCGATTGTCAGTTTGTATACTCTCGTAAATCCATCAGCGTTGACGTATCACTCCAGTCGACGTCTAAACATGTGTAAACAGTAAATGGTTAGATTGTTGTACTTCATTAAAAAGTAGAACCATGTAGACATCTTGATTTCAAATAATATAAATATATAATACTTTGAAGTGTATTATATAATGTGATTAAAGATTCACGCTGCGTATCATCTCATTATATGCTCTAATTTAAGTATGGTGAATTACGGGAGTTTGTTACAGGAGCCTCTGTTAAGACAAAATAAGTCCCAACGAAAGTCGGTCGCTTGTACTACTTTGATCATCACCATATAGTGACGGGGCTTCGGCAGTCGCCACCGGAGGCAAAGGCACCAGCCTTGCTATCAATTGGTCGTTTGATTCGTCACTCTCGTTTGCATGCCGCCGACATGTGTGCTTGTTGTGGCCAACTTCACTGCCGTTCTTGCATCTGTACGTTGACTTTCTTGTATTAGAGTCTTCGCCAGTACTTGCTATTCTTCTTGTGATGCGTCGGCCAGCTTGTTTATAGTACGGTGACGGAAGCACAGGACTGTCCCCGTTATCGATATCTCGGACTGGCAATGACACGGCTTTCCCCCCGAAGGCGTCCCTATATGACGAAACTAGATAGCTCTTGTGAAAGGCCAGTTTTGAGGGTTCGATGTCTCCTCGTTCCTGAAATGCTGCGATAATGTGGCGGCACGCGATCCGCATTTGGTCGAAAGTAGTACAAGTGCAAGACAGAGGATCCATTTGCACTTGAATAGCCCTAGAACTGCCAGTATACAAAACGTAGGGCATTGAACGCGATAACCGGACCACCAAATATTGCCCTGATAGGTTCTTTTCTTGTTCCCAAAGTTTTTTTTAGCGTACGGCGTCAAATTGCGATGATCTTTTTGCGACTCCTCTAAGTTTCTGTTACGTTCCACCAGTCGCTCCATTTCGACCACTGCAATCAAGTACAATGCATTGAACGGGGCAGATGCCCTAATGCCATTATCCAGCCTAGCGTTATTCTCACTTTCAACAAAGTTCGAGGACCTCCACTCGGACACAGAAAAGAGCCCGCCATTCCTCGGAGTTGTAATTATCTGTCATCACACTATTAGCGTCCGATCCACTAAGATTATTTCCAGGCCATAATTAGGAACGGGACGACCGTCATTGTCAGATACTGTGTTAGACTCAGGACAATGATCATTTCCAGCTTCTGCACTCTCGCCAGTAGAACTGTCGCCTTTTTCACAAAGCGATAAAGATGAACGCACGTACGTTGACATGTTGGCATGAACTGTCCACCTCCATGGATTAGTTTGCTTGACGTATCGAAAAATCCGTTTACCGTATTGTGTTTTTAGTTCTTCCATAGCTGCCTTAAATTATTTGCGAGTCGAAGCAGATTGTACCTTCCAACTTGCGTTTTCAAAATCGTTGCCGGTCATTCTGCAAGCTCTTCTGATATTCCGCATTATAATCAGAGCAGGTAAACATGCCATTTGCCGCCCGTTAGGTTCGGCAACAGAGGCACAGAAGTCATTGTGTCGAGTGTTGAGACTCGAAACCGACATCTACGATCCATTGGCCTCCTTCTTCCGCGTAATTGTCACTTTCCAATCACACCCTTGCCCACTGCACATGTACGTCTTGCTTTTTCCACCTGAGTTGTTTTCTTGATGCACAACTTGTTTTCATTGTACATGTAATCCTCGAGGTACTCCGTTGCACACTTAATGGATTGAAATCGTTGATGTTTTTCAAGCAAAGAAGTCCCGTTCCGCGTTGAGGGAGCATAACTCGCAAGAATTCGAGACTGGCTGCACGTTCACGTTGAAAAAGTGGACTAAGTGCTGATGATTCGTTTAACGAACTGATCTGCTTGAGCTCGGCCTCGACTTCTTTGAGCTCTTCTAGTAATGATGAGATACGTCTCTCTTTGAGCTGAATTCGATCAATCTATCAATGAAACGATCAGGAACTTCCATAATAAACAGGTAAATGCCAAAAGTAATGTTCAGACCGTTTTTTGTTGAGAGGGGCATCAAAGTTGCCACTAGGGCTAGCTGAGCTAAGCTAAGCTTACCTATCCTTGGTTACTATGGGCTCTTTTCTTTATGTGAGCGGATGTATGAGGGCTTGAACATTCTCCCAGGCCACAATTCGCATTCAACTTCTCCCTTATCTTCTCGAAGCTTGAGCGTCTTGCGGTTCTGCTCGTTCTGGGGGTTGGTCTTGCATCTCTTTCGATAATTTCGGATCACCTGAGAGCCCTTATCCTTTGCCCCGCAGTACTGGCATGTGACATGCTTGAGGAGGGTGTTTTGAACATTTTCAGGGGCCGTGAGTGCGGCCTTGTAGCTGAGGTAGCAGTGCACTCGGTAGTTAAGCTTCTCGAACGACACCCCATTATGAACCAGGTCACCCCTGAAAAGCACGCAGTAGCCCACTGGAATGTCGACGACGATCGACTTGTGTCATCTCTCGCTGAAGCACCCTGGGAAGATGCGCATCTTGGTTCCTTCTTGGAGCGCTACAAGCGCTAGCAGGTATCCCAGTAGGCTCTTGGCTCGAGCACTAGCCAAATCCTCGTTTGGAAAGTCGGTATGGGATTCTCGCCCGGTGCCACCCGGTTTGGACCGGAGGAAGTTGAAGCGCGTTGGGATCCAGTCAGGATCAACCATGTTGGCTGTCACCTTCACGGAGGCTCCGAGATCCCACATCGCCGGCGACATTCCGGTAGCCGTGCTATCTCTGCTGATGAGTAGCACGCTGCGAAAGTCATCATTGACGACGTCATCCACGGGGTTGACATACCGGTGAAGGTAGTATTTCATCTTAACATCAATATAATATGCATTACACAAAATACGTATAATCCTTCTAGCCCGGTATAACCTCCTTTAAAAAAAAAGAAATGAGCTTCTGATCAACAACAAAATTTGTTGTCAATCAGAAACTCATTTCTATTTTTACTGAGCATTTAATACTTAACTAAGTAATAATATTAAGAAACTGCTAACTGGTAATCTTTACGATCCTCTTATCAATTACGCGCTTGCAAACACGGGACTAATCCGAGTATGAAGGAAAAAATACACTATGATGATGGCAGATTTCTATCGCTGCTTCGCTGTGCTTTGATTATGGCCACCTCTAGGTCAATATTTCAAAAACAAATTACTATATACTGATCTCTCATTTTTCACGGCAAGAACTCGAAAATGCCTTCTTTGAGTTTCTGGTACGTCTTCAAAAGATGAGTTTTGGTAAACTTTAAGGATTACTGCCACTTCAACGTGCTACGGATGAGAAAAGGTTGACGCCAATATTAATATGTATTAACACACTAGTCATATCTCTCGACATGTACATTTGACTTCAACTCTGCTCGCTTGGTATTAGTTTTTGCCTCATTTCTAAACTTTTCATTGAGTCCTCAAGTGCAGCTAAGCAGGAAAGTAATGGAGCCCAACGCACCTTCACCAACCGAGACGAAAAAGCTCGGTTTCGAGTCCGGTAAAGCCCTCATGGCTGAGGGTCCGCAAGTCCTTCACGAGTACATGGCCTCCAAGTTTGGAGCTGCTATGGGTCGTGTCATGCCTCAGATGGACGTGCGGTTCAGCAACCTATCCGTCAGCGCCGACATCGTCGTGGTGGACGACCCGGGTGTCAAGCACGAGCTGCCGACCATCCCGAACACCATGAAGAAGGCGTTTGTAGGCCCCAAGAAGCGCGTCGTGTGCAAGCAGATCCTCAAGGACGTGAGCGGTATGTTCGCTCCTGGCAAAATCACACTGCTCCTGGGTCAACCCGGCTCCGGCAAGTCGTCTTTGCTCAAGATGCTAAGTGGGCGCTTCCCTATCGAGAACAACATCACCGTTGAGGGGTGATATCTCATTCAACAACGTACCGCGCGAACGCATGATGAAGCGTCTACCACAGTTCGTGGCCTACGTGAGCCAACGTGACAAGCATTATCCAGTTTTGACCGTGAAGGAGACGCTCGAGTTCGCTCACAAGTTTTGCGGCGGTGAACTGTCGAGACGAGGTGAAGAGCTGCTCTCGAAGGGTTCACCACAGGAAAACCTGGAGGCTCTTGAAGCAGCTAAAGCTGTATTCGAGCATTATCCGGAAGTCATCATCGAGCAGCTCGGGCTGCAGAATTGCCAGGATACCATTGTTGGTGATGCCATGACCCGTGGTGTATCTGGTGGTGAACGCAAGCGTGTGACGACCGGAGAGATGGAGTTTGGTATGAAGTACGTGACGCTCATGGATGAGATCAGTACGGGTCTTGACAGTGCCGCCACGTTCGATATCATCAGCACTCAGCGTAGCGTAGCTCACAAGCTGCGAAAGACCGTCGTCATCGCTCTGTTGCAGCCGTCTCCGGAGGTGTTCGCGCTGTTCGACGACCTCATGATCATGAACGAGGGTCAGGTGATGTACCACGGACCGTGCAATCAGGTGGAAGAATACTTCGAGGGCCTGGGCTTCTCGTGCCCACCCGAACGCGATATCGCCGACTACCTGTTGGATTTGGGTACGCCTGAACAATACCGCTACCAGGTGCAGAACTACCACACCAAGCAGCCTCGCAGTGCCGGTGAGTTCGCAGAGGCGTTCCGTGAGTCACGTATCCATCGGGAGACGCTCAACGAGCTGGAGGCTCCACACGATGAGGATCTGCTGCACAATGTAGCGGAAATCATCGACCCGACGCCAACGTTTCACCAGTCTGTCGTCGAGAATACCATGACGCTACTGCGACGTCAACTCATGGTGACGTACCGTAACACACCCTTTATTGTTGGTCGCTTGATGATGATTATCATCATGGGGATCGTCTTCTCCACCGTCTTCTACGACTTTGACCCGACCCAGGTTGCGGTAGTGATTGGAGTTCTCTTCGCTACCGTCATGTTCCTATCGATGGGTCAGTCGTCGCAGATTCCGACATACCTGGCAGAGCGAGACATATTTTACAAACAACGCGGAGCCAACTTCTTCCGTACCGGGTCGTACGTGCTGGCCACATCGGCCAGTCAGATCCCGTTGGCAGTCGTCGAGACCATAATCTTCGGTTCACTGGTGTACTGGGTCTGTGGATTCGTGTCGGAAGCGAAATTGTTCATCATATTCGAAGATCATCCTGTTATTGTCAAATCTATCCATGGGCATGTGGTTCTTCTTCCTGGCAGCTATCGGCCGCAATGGTAACATTGCAACGCCGCTGGGTATGGTGTCGGTACTGGTGTTCGTTGTTTTCGCTGGTTTCATCGTCACCAAGAGCCAAATCCCAGACTACTTTACCTGGGCCCATTGGATTAGTCCTATTACGTGGAGCCTCAAGGCTCTTGCAGTGAATCAATATCGCTCGGACCCCATGGACGTTTGTGTGTACGAAGGCGTGGACTACTGCGCAACGTATGGTCTCAAGATGGGTGAGTACTACCTGGGTCTCTTCGGTATGGATACAGAGAAGGAGTGGGTTGCGTACGGCATTATCTACACTGCGGCCATGTACGTGGTGTTCATGCTCCTGTCGTACTTGGCTCTGGAGTTCATTCGCTACGAAGTGCCTGAAAATGTGGACGTGTCAGAGAAGACGGTGGAAGACGAGTCGTACACAAGGCTAGAGACACCCACGAACAAGAACGCAGCTAATGGCACGGACGGCTATGTTGTCGACATTGACAACCGTGAGAAGAACTTCACCCCCGTGACGGTGGCGTTCCAGGACTTGTGGTACTCGGTGCCGGATCCGCACAACCCGAAGGAGTCGCTGGACTTGCTCAAGCGCATCAACGGTTTTGCCGTGCCCGGGTCGATCACTGCACTTATGGGCTCATCGGGTGCTGGAAAGACGACATTGATGGATGTGATTGCCGGCCGTAAGACTGGCGGCAAGATCACCGGCAAGATCCTGCTGAACGGCTATGAGGCGACCGACCTCGCTATCCGTCGCTGCACGGGTTACTGCGAGCAGATGGACGTGCACTCGGAGGCAGCTACCATTCGTGAGGCTTTAACCTTCAGCTCTTTCCTGCGTCAAGACGCCTCGGTCCCGGACGCCAAGAAGTACGACTCGGTGAATGAATGTATCGAGCTTCTTGGTCTGGGAGACATCGCCGACCAGATCATCCGTGGCAGCTCCGTGGAACAGATGAAGCGTCTGACGATCGGCGTGGAGCTGGCTGCTCAGCCGAGTGTGATTTTCCTGGGTGAACCGACAAGTGGTTTGGACGCTCGCTCAGCTAAGTTGATCATGGACGGTGTTCGCAAAGTGGCCGACTCTGGCCGTACCATTATCTGTACGATCCACCAGCCGTCGTCCGAAGTGTTCTACCTGTTCGACAGTCTGCTTCTACTCAAGCGTGGTGGCGAGACGGTATTCTACGGTAACCTGGGCAAGAACTGCCGTAACCTGGTCGACTACTTTGAGGATATCCCTGGCGTGGCCCCGCTGCCGAAGGGCTACAACCCGGCCACGTGGATGCTCGAGTGCATTGGTGCTGGTGTGGGCAACTCGGCCGGTAACCAGACCAACTTCGTGGACTACTTCAACAAGAGTTCGTACCGCCAGGTGCTCGACAGCGAAATGGCCAAGGAAGGAGTGACCGTCCCGTCGCCCGACCTGCCCGAGATGGTGTTCGCCAAGAAGCGCGCGGCCACGTCGGCCACGCAGATGAAGTTCGTGGTCACCCGTTTTTTCCAGATGTACTGGCGCACCCCGACGTACAACCTGACCCGTATGATCCTGGCCGTCTTCCTGGCGCTGCTATTCGGACTCGTGTTCGTGGATGCAGAGTACGATTCGTACTCTGGTTTGAACTCGGGCGTCGGGATGATCTTCCTCGCGACGCTATTCAACTCAGTGGTGGCGTTCTGTGAGAATCTCCGCAGATTCGTTGTCGTGTCGGCATGCACCTTTCTGTATTGAAGTTGCTGGCCTCTGTAAAGACCAGTGTGTGCGTGTTTTGGGGACCGTCACGGGTGTCGCCAGATCTGGTTTGGTCAGGCGTCAGGTATCAAGCAGTGCGGCTCGTAGTTGGCGAGGATGGCACGAAGATGACACGAGGCATCACCGCGCGGAAATGCAAGGTGAAGGATGTGCCTTGTGTGTGTGACATTGTCCATGGGGGGTTTTGGTGCCAGGTGCTTTCCCCCCAGTCTTCACGGACACGAGAAATACAGACTCACTTTTCAATCTGCTTTGTGCCCCACAAGTCCTTCTTCCTCCTCCAGTCTCCTCGCTCTACATCCCTCACGCACCCTCAAGACTCTGCTCGCTACCCCTCGTCTCCTTGGCTTGCACACGCACTAGTGACGGGAGCGCACGGAACCAAACGCTCTTAGGTTATGAGCCCAAGTCCGACAAGCCATGATGAACTCGAGTGGCGGGAACTCGCCACGCGCGCCGGCCCAAGGAGATGCACCAACTCAAGCTGACGTTGGCGCAGACATTCTGGGTGTCGCTGGCAATGAAGGTGGTCTCCGACTCTACGGTACGAGCAAGCCTCCCAAGTACGACGATGAAGGTGGCTTCGATCTGTACGAGGCGCTGTTGAAGTCCTACCTCATGCAACGGAAATGCTGGGGCGTGGTGGACGGATCCGAAACACGCGGCCGCGCTGGGGACGACGCAAGACGCGTCGGTGTCATCGACGGTGCGACGTTCGATGTGAAGAACGCGGTGGCCCGCGATGCTATTCTGCGTGGTTTACCGCCCAAGGACGCGATGAAGGTGTGCACGCTGCAAACGGCACGTGAGATGTGGACAGCGTTTGAGGCGGAGAAGACCAAGCGCTCGTTCGCTAATGCCCTCTAAATTCGCAAGAAACTGTACTCCGCTACCTACTCGGCGGACATGGACATGGAGAAGTACCTGGACGAAATGGAGCTGATGCGACGTCAGCTCCGCAACATGAACGATGAGATCTCCGATGACGAGATGGTGAAGGTGCTGCTTCAGGGAGTTGCGTATGAGTACCGCAACATCGTGCAGCTGTATGGCAAGGCTGTCCGCGAAGGAAATCCTCCGTCGCTGGTTGAAGTGCTCAACACGTTGCGCAGTGAAGCTGAGATCGACAAGCAGCGTCGTGAAGTGGTAAAGGCAGGAAAGGCCAAGCCCGAGGCAATCATGCAGATGCAGCGCAATGAATCGGCTGGAGACAAGCGGTCGAAGCAGCAAGGCGGACCAGGCAAGAAGAAATTCAAGGGCAACGGCAAGCAGCGCGAGACACGAGAGTGTTTCTATTGTAAGAAACCAGGCCACTTGAAGCGCGACTGCCGGGCCCTGAAGAAAAAGAAGGAAGAAGAAGCCGCGGCAGCTGCTACTTCAACTAGTGGCGATGTCAAGAACACGAGCAAGCCCAAGTCAATGTCCTTGATGCGCTGGGGCGGATCTAGAGCTTCCGACGGTGACGATGTATCGGCAATCAAGATGGTTCGTGTTGTGGATGCTGAATTTGACTCGAGTATTGCTGCTGTGCAGTACTCATCCTCGGATTGTGACGAATGGATGGTGGACAGTGGAGCTGCAGTGCATGTGTGCACGAGCTGGACAGCGTTTATGAGCATGCGGGAGGACACTACGTCTTTTATAGGCTGGAAAGGTGAACGCAGCACAAGCGAAGCTCGTGGACAAGTGCGTGTCTGTGTTGTTGACACTGCATCGGGTAATGAGGTCGTCCTGGATCTGGACGATGCTCGCTACGTTAGTGGAGGTGTCACGAACTTGCTGAGTCTGGAGCTCATGGAGCTCGATGGCTGGGTGCCTTCATATACTGAAGCCTCAAATCCTGCAAATCGACGTAAGGTACTTGAGCGTGGCGGTGTGCGACTCGAGATGTCAAAACGTGACGGTCACTATTGGTTGAAGACAAAACGTCCTGTGGCAGACTCTAGTATGTGCATCATGTCAGTATCTGATGGTGTGTCGGAGCTAATGAGATGGCACATGAAGTTTGCCCACCTGAATGGGCAAGCACTCAGAGAAATGGTGAGCAAGCATATGGCAGTCGGCATGGACGCATTGAAGTCAGTTGACTTTAGTGTTCCTCTGAATTGTATCGCCTGTCAGACTGCAAAGCAGAAGCGCAAGTCGTACAAGCGCCACGACAAGTGCAGCAAGGTCTGCTACGAGCGGCTGTCATCCGACGTATGCTATGTCGGTCTGGAGACTACTGGAAGACACCGCTACTTCCAACTTGTTCAGGACGAAGCGTCTCGATACACTTGGTGCTACCTGCTCATGCACAAGAGTGAGGCAGCACAGAATGTGATCAATTTGCTTTTGCAGTTGGAGAAGGACCATGTGATCAAAAGGTTCTCATGTGATCAGGGGAAGGAATTCGTAAACAACAAGCTGAAGAACTTCCTGACTGAGCATGGAATCCAATTGCTGACGACAAACGCCTATACGCCTGAAGAAAACTGCCTTGTGGAGAAACAAAACGGGAAACTACTCAACAAGGTGCGAGCTATACGTCAGGCAACGGGTATGCCAACAGCTTTGTGGGGTGAAACCCTTCTCTACGTGGTAGAAGTTGACAACATGAGTGCCACCAAGGCTGTCAGTGGCATGACTCCCTTTGAGAGACTTACAGGGATCAAACCGGACGTCAGCAACCTTCGTGTGTGTGGATGCGTGGCTTTTGCTCATGTGCCAAAGGTGAAGCGACCACACAAACTCAGTCCGAAAGCAATTCCAACACTCTTTCTGGGATACTCGGATTCACAGCTCGGCTATCGCCTACTTGACTTGCGCACGGGTGACCTGATTGAGCGTCGCGATGTGTCATTTCGAGAAGACATCACTGTTGATGGAAAGTACGTGCATGACTTACTGGCTAAACGCTATGATGAAGCACAACTGGAGCTACCTGTAAATGTTCCATTTGTTCGTCTTCCTGTGAATGCAGTACTTGAGCATGGGTCAAATCCTACAGACGTCGAACCTGAAGACGAGCCCATGGACGAGAATGACACTGATGTGTCGGAGTCCAGGCCGCGCGCTGTGAAACGATCTCGTGTAACTTCAGATGAGAGCAGTGATGACGACTATGAAGGACTTAGTTTCAGTGGGAGTCGTGGAACTGAAATTGGTCGTGGCGATGAACATGGAGCTGGCTTCGGTAATGGTGACGAACATGAAGAACCTGATTTTGATTATGGTGATGGCCACAGTGGTGGCGACGACAGTGACTCGCATGGAAGTGGTGGTGCTAGCAATTCGTCAAACTCGGGACAGCCAGCATCCTCTCGTGCATCGTCCCGTGCATCATCTCGTGGCGGTAGTACCGCTAGCAACTCGGGCAACTCGACCAACTCGACACATGCAACTGCATCCAGGTCCTCATCATCACCGTCGCCTCCTGCTCAACCACAGCTGAGACGATCTCAAAGAAACCGCAGAGCAAGTACATGGTACAGCCCAGGGACATATGCGATGGCGACGATGTTGATGCGGTGCATGCTAATGGGTGTGATCAGTGACGTCCTAACTCCTACGACAGTCCGAGAGGCTCTTGCATCGAGCCACGCTAACGATTGGAAACATGCCATGGACGCTGAATACAACAGCTTGATGAGCAACATCACCTGGGAGCTTGTGCCTCGTCCAAAATCAACCAAAGAAAAGCGGGTTAATGTGCTAACTTCGCTGTGGTTTTTGCGGTGAAACGAGATGCAAGTGGAGACGTGGATCGGTTCAAAGCAAGACTCGCCATACGTGGTTTCCTCCAGAAGTTCGGCATTGACTATTTGGCAACATACTCACCTGTCGTCCGACTTGAATCTGTCAGACTTGTGATGATTTTGGCACTCATGCTCGGTCTCGACTGTCAGCACGTTGATTTTGTCACGGCATTTCTAAATGGAGAGCTGACTGACGTGGACATTTATATGGAGCAGCCGGAGGGCTACAATGACGGGAGTGATCGAGTTTGCAGACTCCTCAAAGGCTTGTACGGCCTGAAGCAGGCAGCCAAGATCTGGAACGACACTCTACACTTGTACCTGCTGGAGCTGAAGTTTCACCAGTGTGCATTCGATGCAGGTGTGTACTATCGGCAAGGTTCTATCGGCATGATTTACTTGACTGTGTATGTGGACGACATCGTCATCGCAGCTAAGCGTGACGACATCGTGATTGTCGTTCGCGAGTTGGGTGCCAAGTTTGCGTTGAAAGACTTAGGGCGCGTCAAGTTTCTGCTTGGCATGGAAATCAATTTCGTTCCGGGTGTGATGGTCTGTATGTCACAGACGGCGTACATCGAGCGAATGGCAGTGCGATTCGGCTTGGAAAAGGCAAAGTCTGTCCGTTCTCCGCAGATGCACAACGAGCATATGCCTCCCATTGAGAGAAACAAGGCGCAGGTCAACGACGACAAGCTGCCATATCGAGAACTCATCGGGTCGTTGCAATATGTGGTGGCTTGCAAGCGTCCAGACATGGCGTGTGTCGTTCGTGCGTTAGGAAGATTCAATGGGTCATACACTCGTGAGAACTATCGGATGGCACAACGTGCGCTCCGATATTTGATCGGCACGAAGCACTTTGGGTTGGTGTATCAGCCAACAGGTGTGCAACCAGTGCTGAGTGCTTTCTCGGATGCAGATCACGCAATGTGCCCAGATACAAGCCGCTCAATCACCGGCTATGCGCTGAAGCTGAACGAGTGCTGCTGGATGTGGAAGTCCAAACAGCAGAGCAGGGTGACACGCAACACATGCGCATCGGAGCTCGTTGCAGTGAGCGACTGTGTTGACGATTTGGTGTGGGCGCGGCTTCTGCTTCAGGAATTAAAGCAGGAGCAGAACTTGTCCACAGTGTACTGTGAGAATCAAAGTGCAATCCGAGTCATTGAAAACAAGGGCAACACCAAGAAGGTGAAGCGCTATGCGAAGGAAGCTCGCATGATAGCCGAATTTGTCGAAGCCAAAGAGGTACAAGTGGTATACGTGTCAACCACAAGCAATGCCGCTGACATCTTCACGAAGGCTTTGGGGGCCCAACGCTTTGAGGTGCTCCGGGAAATGCTCAATCTACACGATGTGCAAGATGCGCTACGACAAGCGCAAGGGCAAATGGACGATTAGCGAAAGGCACGAGTGCCATCGCGGAATATCGTGGGCGAATCAGCACCTGCTGATGAGCGGAGTCTATGTGTGCATGTTAGCACACGTGGAGTGCAAGACACCGAGGCAACGGTTGAGCACTTCGCGGCCGTAAGCGGAACTGTTTGCGGAGCGGGCCGGTCAATGGTCTGCATGGTGTGCATGTATAAGTGCATGATGTCCGGTGCTATGACAGACACGAAGTGGGAGTGTGAGAATCTCCGCAGATTCGTTGTCGTGTCGGCATGCACCTTTCTGTATTGAAGTTGCTGGCCTCTGTAAAGACCAGGGTGTGCGTGTTTTGGGGACCGTCACGGGTGTCGCCAGATCTGGTTTGGTCAGGCGTCAGGTATCAAGCAGTGCGGCTCGTAGTTGGCGAGGATGGCACGAAGATGACACGAGGCATCACCGCGCGGAAATGCAAGATGAAGGATGTGCCTTGTGTGTGTGACATTGTCCATGGGGGGTTTTGGTGCCAGGTGCTTTCCCCCCAGTCTTCACGGACACGAGAAATACAGACTCACTTTTCAATCTGCTTTGTGCCCCACAAGTCCTTCTTCCTCCTCCAGTCTCCTCGCTCTACATCCCTCACGCACCCTCAAGACTCTGCTCGCTACCCCTCGTCTCCTTGGCTTGCACACGCACTAGTGACGGGAGCGCACGGAACCAAACGCTCTTACCTTCCAAAGTGTGTTACCTCTGTCATGTGCCGAAAGCGCCTCGTTCTACCGTGAACGCGCGTCTCAGACGTACAACGCCTTCTGGTACTTCCTGGGCTCGACACTCGTAGAGATTCCGTACTGCTTCTCCAGTGGCTTCCTCTTCACGTTCGTGTTCTACTACATGGTGGGTTTCACTGGTTTCGGAGTATCGGTTGTGTTCTGGTTGGCGATCTCCCTCGTGGTGCCCTCTCAAGTGTATCTGGGCCAAATGTTCGCGTACGCGATGCCGTCGGAGGAAGTGGCGGCCATCATCGGGCTATTGTACAATACTTTCTGGATGATGTTTATGGGCTTCGGTCCGCCGACGTACGCGATTCCGTAGGGCTACACCTGGTTGTACGATATCTCGCCGCTGAGGTTCCCACTCGCCATCATGGAAGCGCTGGTGTTTGCCAACTGCGACGAGTTGCCGACGTGGAATGAAACCACGCAGTCCTATGAAAACGTCGGCTCAAAGCTTGGTTGTCAGCCCATGGAGGGCGCACCCGTGACAGTGGGGCATATCACACTGAAGGAGTACACGGAGGAATACTTTGGCATGGAACACGACATGATCCTGCGCAACTTCGCCATTGTGATCGGATACATGCTGCTCTTCCGCGTTGTGGCACTGCTGTCACTGCGCTACATCAACCGCCAGAAGAGATAAAGTGCGCACTCTCAGTTACATGCTCTTTATGCAGCCATTCATAATTCCATTGTTCATAACTTCACTTTTCAAAAAAAAAAAAGTCATCTGATAATGTAGCCATTTCCCTTTTAGCCAATCATCTGTCGTAACAATACCGGTAATCCCATCTCAACCGGTTAAACCTTTCACCATCACTCCTGCCCGCCACAATCCGCCTTGAGCGCAGGCAAAGCAGGAACCACGTGGAGCTCGCGTCCACCCTCCCAGTTCTCAACCCCCAGGGGCCGTCTCAGCCTATACGACGTGTGCGCGCGTGATCTCCAGTCCTTCGCCCCCTACATCGCGTCGGAACCGCTGCCACAGCGCTCAAATTGACGTCAAGACGAGCATCTAAGGTACATGACACCTTAGTTCGTTAGAGCGCACTATACCACTAACATACCTCTCACTCTGTAGTCATGTTCGGCCGCTTCTTTAAGAACAAGGAAGACGGGAAGAGCGGCCCCCCAGGCCATCAACGCCAGGGCCCTGCAGCCGACGAGCCCCCCGCCGGTGGAGGTTTCTTCAATCTACCGCCTCCAGTGTCCAAGCCTTATAATGGCCAGAGTTCTACCGTCCCCAGTAACCCCGTGGGAGGAAACGCAGCTACTGGAGGGTACCCTGCTCCCTCAGGTTACAGCTCCAGTGCCCAGGAGAATAACTCCATGACTGGAGCCCCAGCAGCTGCGCCTGCCCCCGACATGTTCGGTGGCATGTCGGTAAGGGCTCCTCCTGCCAACAACAAGGCTGGAAGGTATCAGTCTCAGACTCAGAATCAGACTCAGTATGGAGGCTATGGAGCTCAGCAGAGTTCGATGCCGCCTACGCAGCCTGGTGGTAGTCTGTTTAGTGGTCTGGATGTGGCCCCTAGTGCCCCAGCACCGTCAATACCGGCACATGAGGAGAATGTGGCAGTGACGATGCCGACGTATGGAGAGCAACGGAAATCCACCAGAAGCTCCGGTTCATTCAACTACCTTGATGTGGCAGGTTCAAAGACTTCAGACCCGTTGAATTCCTCGCAGTATTCCCGTACAAGTGCGACTAGCAGCACAGGAACGTCGGCATCGAGATCGAGCTCGAAGGTGGTGAAGAAGAAGAAGAAGAAAACGTTCCGTCCTGGCTTCGGTCGACAGCTGTCAGACGAGTCCGCAGCAGCGTTACAACGTGGAGACTTGAAGGAAGACGACGTCATCCAGCAGCATCGCGAAGGGCGACTCATGTCGGACCGCTCGGACAGTTCACGGAGCTCCCGTAGTGCTACAAACCCTACAGATTTGGCTCACTTGTTGCCTCCAGTGAAGTCAGGCTCTGTGTTACAGGGCCTCACGGTTCACAAGGGAAGTACCCCTTCCGGCGGCGTGCTAGCTGGCCTTACAGTCCACACATCGGCGTCTCCTTCGCCGTCTCCAGCGAAGCCTGTGGACTCGGAGTCCGGCGGTAATGGAGTTTTATCAGGTCTAAGTATCCACAAGACTCCAACCACTGAAGACGATACGAACGAGTCTGCTCCGGTGGAAGAACCTCCTGCTCCTGAAGTGTACAAGAAACCAGCTCCTGTGGCACCTGCAGCCCCTCCGACCCCAGAGGAGCGGTTGTTTAACACTCTACGCGACTTCCACGAGAGCGCCGTGAGCTTCCGCCAGCTCACAGTGAAGCAAAATGAAGAGGAGAACCGACTTCTGGAACGTAAGGCGCAGCTCGCGAACCAGTTGACGCAGTACGAAATGGACTTACGGGACGTTGAAGCGCAGCAGCACCACGCGTGTGAAGTGGAAGACTTTGAGAAGGCAGACGCGTTGAATGCGACTATCAACAGTGTGCGGCACTGCATTACGCTGACTGAGAGCGACGTACGCAAGATGGACAGTGAGCTGGTCGCGTTTGTCAAGGCCAAGGAGAAGGCGTTCGCCAATCAACTCAAGAGCACGCGTGGCACTTTACGCGAGCTTGAGAAGTTCCGTGAAGACCAGGAATCCGAGCGTACCGTTGTGCGTAACGAGTACAAGTTGTACGAGTCGAACCAGACGGAGCAGCTGCAGTTCGAAGCTGAACGCATCGACACGGAGATGCACCACGTGTCTGTGAGTCTGGAGAACGTCGTTGCTGAGAAGTCCGAGATCGAAGCCACTATTGAAGGCCAGTGCAGCTCAGAGTTTGCCATCCAGGCGCAGCTTATGGAGGAGAAAAAGGCGGTGGAAGAAGAAGTGCGGGAGCTGGAGCGGAAGCTGAAGGAGAAGCTGGAGCGAGTCCAAGAGATCCAGGCGTCTATTGACACAGCACAGAGGGATATCGACACTGTTCGCGGCCGCTACTCTCGTCAGCTGAAGCGCATTGCTGACCGTGAAGAAGGGATTAAGAAGACGAAAGCTGAAGTTGAATCAGACGGAGAACATCTCGAGCAGCAGCGGTTGGATTTCCAGGATAAGTTGAAGCAGTACGCAGAGGACATTTCAGTCATTGGCAAACGCATCGGCGCTGTGAAGAAGGAAATGCGAGCTGCAGCGTTGCTGGCGAACGTGCTGGAGGTGCAGGAGACTCGTCGTGAGCAGTCTATGATCCGCAAGAAGCAGCAGACAGCGGAACTCAGTTCGTTGAATGACGCGGCGGCGGTGGCGGAGCAGAGCTTCACGATGCTCAGCAACCAGCACGAGGAGCTGGAGAAGTCCATGTCTATCCACCGGAACGCCATCGCGTCAGCAGAAGCAATGATTCCACGCTTGGAGCAAGAGAAGAAGGGCGCTGCTGCTCAACGGAACTTCAAGGAGGCAGCTCGGATCTCCAAGGACATTAAGGCGCTGGAAAAGGATCGCTCGACTGCAGAAGAAATGGTGGAAGTGGTGGAGATGGAGCTGCAGGATCTGAAGGAACGAATCGCTAAGCGTGAAGTGGAGTTTGAAGAGAAGAAGAAGGAGCTGAAGGAGATGGAGAAACATCTCGAATTAGCGACGTTGCAAGAGCTCTGGAAGGAGGCCAAGCACTTGCGAACAGCTCTGCGGAAGATCGAGAAGTGTAAGAGCGAGGGTGAGGCTGCAAACGATGGGATCGACTTCCGGTCGTCAGCGATGCTGCTGGTCCAGGCCGAGTACGACGCGTGTATGCTCCAAGTGGAGACTTTGGAGAAGAAATATGACGTCTCTGACCCCGCCAAGGACGAAGAAGTGGACGATGACGACGACGAGTCCATTGATGGCGAAGATAATGAGGAGAGCGACCACGTGTCGATTTCACGCTCGAGTTTGACAGGTAAAGCGACGGACATTGATGGATCGGACGTGGATGTGGAGGCTCTTGAAGATAGCAGCTCTGCGCTAGAGGAGATTGCTGCACAATTGGTTGAGCTGGAATCGCAGATTGAGAAGGCTACAGAGAACGAGGACTACGACTTGGCAGCCAGACTTGACGAGAAGATCGAAGACTTGAAGGAACGCCAGCAGGCTATTGAGGCTTCGATCTCTCAAGAGGTTCGTGAAACTGAGTCTGTTGAACATGGTGAAGAAGAGGCCACCAATCACGATCACTTGGAAGAGGAAGAGGACGATGCGGAGGTGGAATACGCGCACGAGGAGATGGTTAGTCCGGTCTGTGCTGTGCGAAGTCAGGACGAGTTGACGCAGTCGTTGGAGACGATTCAGCTGCGAACTGTGATGCTGGAGAAGCAGATCAAGTTGGCGACCGAAAACGAGGACTATGACACAGCCGCCGCTTATGACGAGGAGCTGCAGTCTTTGCGAGAAGAGGAGAAGGACATCTGTGCTCAACTGGGCTCTGCCGTCCCGACTGATGTGACCGCTTCGAGCATGTTCGGAGGACTCGACGTTAAGACCGACAGCCCTGCTGACGCCGCTGAAAGCCAGGAATCAGAGCATGAATCACCAAAGGAGGAGATTGCTGAGCCAGCGACAAGTGGATCACTGTTCGGTGGACTTCAGATGAGTAATGGCCCAGCCACTGAGAGCCCAACGGATATTCCGACTACTGAGTTGGCTGTTGATGCGGAGAATGAAGTGGCCGAAGCTGAAGAAGCAGCCGCAAAAGCAGAAGTCCTGTCGCCTACGTCCTCGTCTGATATGAAGGACTCGTTCTTCGGCACTCCTGAGGTCTCGAATCCCTACGCTAGTCTAGTTGCGCCGTCTGCGTCTGGATCGCTGTTTGGTGGTCTACAAGTGAGTGGGAACTTCCAGGTTAGCTCCTCCTCGGTGTCTTCGCTTGAGAAGGCAGATGAGGACAAGGACGATGACGATGTGGACACGAACGCTGCACCTGTTGACAGTGGGGACATGTTTAATGGTTTGCAGCTAAGTTCAGGCCCTGGCGACGTAGAGAAGGCACCGACGGAACCTGTTTCAGACGCTCCGGGGGACATGTTCGGTGGTTTGCAGTTATCTAGCAGCGCTGTTGGTACGAGTTCATCAGAACCTGCCACTGAGACTGCCAGTGATATGTTTGGTGGACTGCAGCTTAGTAGCAGCGCAGTCTCTGCGTCTGTTTCGGCCCCAACAGAAGCATCCAGTGACATGTTCGGCGGTTTACAGCTCAGTGACAGCGCAGTGGCTGCATCGACCGAGACTGAGGTGGACGCTGTAAAGGAGTCCGATGACGACTCACCAAAGAACGAGGGAGATGGCCGCATGTCAATCCACGAGCTGTCGGAGCACAATGACAAGGACGCTGTATCAGAGGCGCAACCGTAGACGCGTTTGTATGGACACGTTGCTGTATTGATGTGCGCAAGAAATCCCCCCAGTAGCCTCGGCAAAGAACTGGCAAATATACGAAGATAATAGGGAGTCAATAGGGTGTCTACGTGAACTTACACAGTAACCAAGTTACACGCCTTTATGCTGTTCCAGGAGAGAAGGTGACGCCGGCGTGACGATCCCGAATGTTCCTCCTCCTGGTGCTGGTGTGCCAAGTTCCAGTTGAATAGCAGCAGCTAACGGTGTGTACACGGACGCTGGCGGCCTGTGTAGGAACTGCTGACACACTAACCCACTGGCCAATGCGATGAGGTTGAGCGTCAAACTGAGCGTTGACTTGGTGAGTTCATTGAGCATGACGAACGAGCCGATGGAGAAGGGGATGGCCATGGCAAGCAGTAACCCTCGATCCGAGATGTTGACCTTGTATGGCCGCACCAGTGTAGGCATGGTAAACCGTAACCTCACGACGGCACAGAGTTCTGTTACACAAGCCAAAGAGGACAGGAAATTGTCCACGCCAAGGATGACGTTGAAGTCAAATAGCGCCATGAACACGATGATACCGTAAGATAAGAGGATGGCACGACGAGGTACTCCATTTGAAGCTGTGCGTCTAAAAACACCGTAAGTGAATTAGAGTCAAATTACGGGACAATTAAGAGATTAGAGTAGTGAACGTACTTGATGAAGTAGTTCGGAGCAAGACCGAGATCGGCCATACCGGCCAGCAGGAAGCCGTTCTTGGTCATCTTGGCGATGTAGACCCCGAGGTTGCCGAGCAATGCGCAGCCGAGAAACCAGGTACGTAGACCCGGGCCGGAAATTTTCTCGGCGATCATGGGGTAGTAACCATCTCTCCATAAGCTGTACGACGGCTTGTTGACCCCCGACGCTGCAAGGAACGGAACTGAGTACGTGAGAGCCACTAACCCGACAGTGAGCATCATGGCCCGCGGATACGTTTGTCGAGGCGAGTCGATCTCACTCGCATAAGCTCCAGCCGCGTCGAATCCACTGTAACTCCAGTACAATACACTAATGAGTTGACTCCATTGTGGAGCAGCACTGACGACGAACCAATTGGCCGGATTGATCTGAGGTACACTCACGACTACCAGTACAACGAATGGAGCGACCATTGCAAGTCCAAGTACTAAGAGGAAGCGGCCGACAGCATCGATACTGAAAATCGTCGGTAACATGAACACCGTTGCAACTGTAACTCTTACGAGGTACATCCAGGTAGGTACCATAAAGGAATGCAACTCGTGAGGCCCCTTTAACACTGCATAGACGGAATCTACCATGAGGCATGGGTAGATGGCATTGTCGATCACTAAAACAAAAATGAATCAATGTGTCAATGTTACAGATCCAAGTTTTCAATTTTGGTATCTTTCTTACCGCCTGAAACCCAGCTCCAATACCCCACGTGGAACCCCATACGGCGACCGAAAGCCTTGCCCACCCACGTGCAGAAGCTCGAATCGGTTGGGAATGCGGAGAATAACTCGGCGAATGACAATGCCAGCGGAAGACACCAAATAAACGGGAATACGAGCGTGGCCATGATACCCACAAACGGCCCACATGCGGCCACAATAGGCTCCGACCCCCACGGCCCGCCGCTCACGTTAAAGTACGTGATAAGTGCCAGACTCACCACGCCGAGCTTCTTGCGCCCCATTCCACCCATGGCCTTGCTGCAGTCTTGGAGTGGTAACTGGGGTTATAACGGTCCGAGAAGCAGTGAACAGGCACTAACCAATCAAGGCAGGGAATTCCCGGAACTGAAATAGACCCTGGCTCATACATTTATGGCGCGAGGTTTAAAAACGAAATAGAAGGCCACTATTCATCCTCACTCACTGAACAAGGCTTCCTTCCGTCTATATTATCTGACATTTGACAAAATACAGATCGTAGAGTAACAATACAACGCCAGCTTTTGACACGACCCATTCACCCATAGTGATCGATAGTTTGCACTGCACTCGAAGAAGCATCCAGACATCGGTTCTTTTGCATGTACCCGACCTTATTACCGGTGGTCCAGTTACAATACTCTCCGCTGCAATCTCCACGAAGTCTCGTTTTGCACGAGCTGGACGTGTTGTAGGCCTTCGGGCGAATAATAAATTGCATTGTGCACGTCCAAGCCTTTGGCGGACTCGAAGGTACTTGCACCGGATGCAGGACATGCAGCGCTTCCAATCGGGATGTTCACATGAACATTCTGCTTGTTCAACTTGTCTGCTGACGTACGAGCAGATCCCGCCGGCATTTTCGCCCTTCCCTGGGTTTAGCATCGCCAAGCTGTTTACCAAACACCGGTAATGGTAGCAAATAAAAATCGAGGCGAGTCGTCATTACTTCCACTGACCATTATTTCCGGGTTTAACGTTCATAGAAAACTCGCCTTCTAGAACAGTCTTCAGCGTCAAAAAATGAAAATGGCACCTCGCGATAGTGTCAGCGACACTTGCTCGGACAGACTCATCTGAGTCTGCACCCATCATCCATCCAAATGCCTTGTATCTCTAATCATCAGAATCAGATGTCTCCATCTGTGTCCCCTACTAACTGTCGCTTTGCTACACACCACACACAAAATGCGATCCAAACAGGGAGGGGGACCATGCGCGTCATTCAGAAATCTGCCAAAGCTCAGACACAAGATGAACCCCACGCTTGCCGTCGCTGTGAAGAAGGCCGCGCGCTTCTCGCCCGCCGGCCGCCGCCTGTTTTCGTCGGGCAAGGACATCCGCTTCGGTGTGGAGGGCCGTGCCGCCATGCTCAAGGGCGCGGATCAGCTGGCCAACGCCGTGCAGGTGACCATGGGCCCCAAGGGCCGTAACGTGGTCATTGACCAGTCGTACGGCGCTCCCAAGATCACCAAAGACGGTGTGACGGTGGCCCGCAGCGTGGACTTCAAGGACAAGTTCGAGAACATGGGCGCGCAGCTCGTGCGCTCGGTGGCCAGCAGCACCAACGACGCGGCCGGCGACGGCACCACGTCGGCCACGGTGCTGACGCGCGCCATCTTCAGCGAGGGCTGCAAGTCGGTGGCCGCCGGCATGAACCCCACGGACCTGCGTCGCGGCATCCAGATGGCCGTGGACCACGTCGTGGACGGTCTGCAGAAGCTGTCGATGGATGTGGCCGACAAGGAGAAGGTGGCCCAGGTGGCCACCATCTCGGCCAACTCGGAGACGGAGATAGGCAACCTCATCAGTGACGCCATGGAGCGCGTGGGCAAGGAGGGCGTCATCACGGTGCAGGACGGCAAGACGCTGTACAACGAGCTGGAGGTGGTCGAGGGCATGAAGTTCGACCGCGGCTTCATCTCGCCCTACTTCGTCACGGACAACAAGACCCAGGCGTGCGAGATGGAGAACCCGTACATCCTCCTGGTCGAGAAGAAGGTCTCGAGTCTGCAGGCCATCATCCCCATGTTGGAGACGGTCGTCAAGCAGCAGCGCCCGCTGCTTATCATCGCCGAGGACGTCGAGAGCGAGGCTCTGGCCGCCCTGGTTATCAACAAGATCCGTGGCGGCGTCAAGGTGTGCGCCGTCAAGGCCCCCGGCTTCGGTGACAACCGCAAGGCCAGCCTCCAGGACATGGCCGTGCTTACGGGCGCCACTGTGATCTCGGAGGACCTGGGCCACCGTCTCGAGACGGCCACGCCGGAGATGCTGGGTAGCGCCAAGAAGGTGACGGTCACCAAGGACGACACCCTCATGCTGGACGGCGCCGGCTCGGCCGAGGCCGTGGAGGAGCGTAGCAACCTGCTGCGCGCCTCGATCGAGAGCACCACGTCCGAGTACGAGAAGGAGAAGCTGCAGGAGCGTCTGGCCAAGCTGAGCGGCGGTGTGGCCGTCATCAAGGTGGGTGGCGCCAGCGAGGTCGAGGTCGGCGAGAAGAAGGACCGCGTCGTGGACGCCCTGAACGCCACCCGTGCCGCCGTGGCTGAGGGTATCGTGCCCGGCGGCGGTGCCGCTCTGCTGTGGGCGTCGCGTTCGCTCAACTCGCTGTACGACTCGTGCGCCAACCTGGACCAGAAGGTGGGCGTGGAGATCGTGGAGCGCGCCTGCCGCGCGCCGGCCACGCAGATCGCCAAGAACGCCGGCCACGAGGGCGCCGTCGTGGTGGGCAAGCTGCTGGAGAACGACTCGCCCGAGCTCGGCTTCAACGCCCAGACGGGCGAGTACGTCAACCTGGTGGACGCCGGTATCATCGACCCTACCAAGGTGGTGCGTACGGGCCTGGTGGACGCCTCGAGTGTGGCGTCGCTCATGATGACGGCCGAGGCTCTTATTGCTGACCACCCGGAGGAGGCCGGCGCTGCTGCTCCGCCGATGGGCGGCATGGGTGGCATGGGCGGCATGGGCGGCATGGGCATGATGTAAGAAGCTGGCCACCCATTTTGCACCATAAACTCGAGCTTCCTGGGAGGAATCCATGCGGGAGACGATCCGATGTGAAGCGTGGAGCTGTTGCGACTGAACGAAAGGGACCATGCAGCGTCGTGTGTATCTACATGTGCATCTCGAGCGCCCTCGTTCTCATTGCGTACAGAAGAGCGTTAAGCAAAATAGAATTATTAGTTCGCAACCAACCTCTGTCTTTTTTTGTAGTAATTAGATGGCAGTCGTTTGTGCGACGGCGTAGTATGGAGGAACCGACAAAGTGACCATCTCTTTGGCTGCCTCTGCCCGGCACTGCCGGCGGCAGAGTGCCTGTGTAGTGATGATGGTCTCGATTGCCAGCAACTGCCTAAATCAGGCTTGCGAAGGTAATCACTTGAAAAGTATCCTGGCCAATTGATGAAAGTTTTCATGAAATTCAGGATGATGCCCCATTTTCTGCCACAATTGTATCCACTCGAAAAAGTATCAAAGCCTGGCGTCATTTTCCGATCCGCCTCGGTCAGTGCAAGTCTCAGAGGGTCTCCTAGGTCATGACAGTGGACGACGCGTCCGTCTCGGGCGTACGACAACGCAAGCCACACGGCCACACCTCTAGCGATGGCCCTTCGTCGCCCAAGGCCTTGGCCAAGGAGGCCGTCGCCTCGGCCTTCTCGTCCACCAAAAAGGAGCAGTTCCAGGCCAAGAAAACGTTCCAGGACGCCGCCCGCTCGCTCGGCCGCACGCAGAGTTGGCACGCGCGGGCGGCCGACCACGTGGCCAGGAAGCGCATCTACTCCATCTTGGCCGGTGTCATCATTGGCGTCGTGGCCGTCATCAATGTCCAGAAATTCTACCTGGAGCAGCCTCTGATAAGTGAGGACTCGCTGCTCATGGTTCGGGAAATGTTCGACAACTTCAACTGGTCCGTGAACGTCCGGGATGAGCTCTTGTCCGCCTTCGACAACCGGCCGGCTCTCCTCGGGGCGGCCGAGAAGCGGCCCGGCGTCCAATTGTTCCAAGAGAACGTGACGGCCTACTCGCCCGTAGTGTTGGTGCCGGGCTTCACGTCTACGGGCCTCGAGATCTGGAACGGCAGTGACTGCAGCAAGGCCTACTTCAGACAACGCATGTGGGGCACGTCCAGGATGTTGCAGCAGTTTATGATGAACCAAAAGTGCTGGTTAGAGCACATGATGCTCAACCGGTCGTCAGGTATGGACCCGGACGGGATCAAGTTGCGCGCGGCCAAAGGCCTGGAAGCGGCCGACTATTTGATCGGTGGCTTCTGGGTCTGGGGCAAGATGGTGGAGAACCTGGCCGAGATCGGATACGACAGCAACAATCTGTACATGGCCGCGTACGACTGGAGGCTCATGCCGCATCTGCTGGAGAAGCGCGACGGGTATTTCACCAAACTCAAGTACACGATCGAGATGGCCCGGATGTCGGCCGGCGGCCGCAAGGTCATGCTGGTCACGCACTCGTACGCGACGCAGGTGTTTTTCCACTTTCTCAAGTGGGTGGAGAGTGACAACGGAGGCAAAGGAGGCGACCAGTGGGTGGAGAACAACGTCGAATCATTCGTCAACATCGCCGGCCCGACATTGGGCGTGGTAAAGACGATCAGTGCGTTGATGTCGGGCGAGATGAAGGATACGGCCGAGCTGGGCGGCCTGTCCAAGTTCCTGGGCTACTTTTTCAGTGTATCGGCCCGTACGCAGCTGGCCCGGTCCTGGACAAGTGTGTTTTCGATGATGCCGATCGGTGGTGACCGTATCTGGGGTACGGCCGACTCGGCACCCGATGATGTGGTAGCGGCCTCCCCATTATCGACCGGCAAGAACTCGACAATTGACCCAAAGAAGGTCAAGGAGCACGTTGAACGCTACGGCTCGAATGGCCAAGTCGTTCGGTTCGTCAACACTTCGCACGAGAACGTGACGGTCGGCGGCGTACAGAAGCTGCTGGGCGAGTTGGACCCGTACCTCGATGCGTTCCGTTCGTCGTTGAGTACCGGCATCGCTGAAGACCCGTCGTTGCCTGAATACGACCACTACAAGTACTGGACGAACCCGTTGGAGGCCCCTCTACCCAAAGCTCCGAGCTTGAAGGTGTTCTGCTTTTACGGCGTCGGCAAGCCCGTTGAACGAGGATACACGTACGGAGACAACCGGCCCGATGAAGACAACGTGATCGTGAACGGCAAGCGCGTTGCTCCGTACGTATTCAACACGGCAATTGACGATCTTCCTTATATCAAGGGCGGGCTCCGCTACTCGGACGGAGACGGCACGGTGCCGCTTATCTCTCTGGGACTTATGTGTGCTAGTGGTTGGCGGACGAACAAATTCAACCCGGGCGGCGCCGACGTGCGTGTCCGTGAATACCGACACAACCCCGTGTCCATGCTGTTCGACGCGCGTGGCGGACCTGAGACGGCCGACCACGTCGATATCATGGGCAACCACGCTCTCATCCGTGACGTTCTACTTGTTGCCGCCCGGGCCTACGACCGCGTGCCAGAAAACATCACGTCCAGCATCATGGAGATAGCCGAACGTGTCGGAGAACTTTAATGTCGTTCATTAATCATCTCTCGCTCAATTATAAGCATGTTAGACATCCCTTTCGACGTTAGATCGATACGTGTTCTACATGTTTGTTGGTAGGGTAGATAGATATTCTCATAAGGTTGGCCAGAGTCCTATGAAGAAATCTTAAAAGTGTTCGCTTGCTTCGGCTTGAACAGCACCAAACCGTGCCTTGCATTGCTAGTGTAGCTGTCCTATTCTCACCGACGGTAGCGCCCGCCACGTCGATTACGGCGATTGTTGTTCATGCCGGCGGGTGCAGGCGACGGGAGTAGATGGTTCTGTTGGTATCGTTGCTGCGGTGGCGGTTGCTGTTGGCCAGGCCCGTAGTTTGCCATGGGTCTGGCTCCTCCGCGCTGCTGGAATTCGCCTTGGGGTGGTCCATACTGATCGTACGCATATGCAGAGAAGTTGTCACGACGCGGAGGCTGTTGCGTTGGCTGTTGGCCATAAGGTCCCTGCAGCTGCTGGCCATAAGGACCCTGTTGCTGGAGTGGCTCCTGATAATACGGAGCGGGACCAGGGCCATCCCGAGCAGCTCCTGCACCTGCACCTGCTCCATATCGCGATAGAGAAGGATCTCCACCAGCAGGAGGGCCTGAGCGTGGCCGCATTGGTTGTTGCGGTTGTTGATGGAATACCTGTTGCTGTTGCTGTGGCCAGCCGCCAGCAGCGCCTCTAGAAGGGCCTCCTTGTCCTACAAAGCGATCACCACGCGGGCCATCCTGTGGCCCAGAGAAATAGGCGCCTGAAGGCTGCGGAGCATACCCTTGCTGCTCTGGCATTGGGCCCTGTCGGCCTCCATATTCATCGTAAGGCGGCGCATTGGGCGCACCGTACGGTTGCTGCTGGAATGGACGTGGCTGCTGCACAGGAGCCTGCATCTGCTGCGGCCCTCGATCATACAGAGGCATTTGCTGCACAGGCGCAGTCTGTTGTCCAGGGTAATCGTAACGCGAATGCTGTGGAGGCGCAGCGGCAGCAGGCCCTGACTGCGGGGGCTGGATATCCCACTTGTTCGAGCGGCCCCGGCCTCCACGCGGGTCACGATCGCGGCGGCGATTAATCCCGTTCCCGGCCCAGTTGCGGGATCCGCGTGGGTCTTGCCGGTTGTTCCCGCTGCCACTGCCACGGAAGCCTCCACTAGAACTACGCGAAGTAGAGTGACTGGAAGTAGTAGAGTCCTGACTGTCTCTCCTCTGCCTCGCAGGAGGACGGCCAGAAGCAGGAGAGGCCTGCTGGGCCTTCTTAGCGTCAGCATTGCGCTGATTCTCCTCTCGCCACAGCTTCTCTGCTTCAAGAATCAAACCTACAATAGCACGCTATAACATCAAATACCAGTCAGTTAGACACCCCACCAGTCAGTCCACTCTACACTGCACACTTACCTGCAACCCAATTGCTTCGGCCTCCGTCGTCACCTTCATTTCCGGGATCTTCATGTTCTCAAGCGAGATCTGCTGGGCCTTTAATGCATTGGCCCGATCCATGGCACTAATGTCGATGAACTGCTGCTGGGACATCAGACAGCGACTGGAAAACTCGCGACGTTGCTCCAAGTGCTGCGTCTTCAGTGCGATCAGGCCTCGCGGATCCGAGAAGCCGTGCTGCATTTCAAGCGCCACGTGTCGGGCGAACAGTTCGCTTCCCTCTTTCATCTGCATGCCAACAAGTTCCTGCCAACGGTATAACATCTCTCGATCACGAGTGCGCTGGTTGTCGCGCAGATCGCGGACTCCTTCGAAGACGGCGCTATCACTTAGAACGTCGGACAATCGCTCCAATAGTTCGTTGCCAATTTGCTTCTGTGCCTCGCCGTCGGCCACGCTATCAAACAACAAGTGCGGACAAGTGGGGATAAACGGCAGCGTCACAGGGATGTGCGAGAAGAAGGCCGTAGGCTCGGCCGGGGCAGTGGCCGCTGCTATCTCTTGCTTGGCCCGCTTGGCGTCGCCTGCAAGGCGTGGATCAGACGGCCGCTTGACCGCCGCCGCGTGGCCGACGCTCTCGACTGCAAGAGGAGAAGGCGAGGGCGTGACTTCGCCAGTCTTGTCAATAAAGGCTACGACAGGGTCTACCAGAGACACGGCCGCAGTCTTGGCCTGCTGTTGAGGCTGCAAAGTGCTCGGCAATGTGGTGGCCGCAGCTGTAGTAGCGGTAGAAGGAGCTGCAGTGGCTGTCGTTCCAGGCTGCGGGAACTTGTCCGGCATAACCTGGTGCTGCAGCATGGCCAGGGACAATTTGTTGTCCACATGAGTACACACAAAGCCATAGAATCGGGCCCACACGGCCTTTTGCTCCTGTTCGGGCAGCGTCTGCAGGGCGCGCACAAAGATCTTCCTGGCATTGGAGAATTTCTTCCTCTGTACGCAAAAGTCTGCGTACTGCAGCCACAAGGGCGTGCTGGAGCCAGCGATGGGGCAACTCACGGCTCTCTCGAACACTTTAGTGGCCTGTTTGAACTGCCGCAGCTCCATTTCCAGAGCCGCGTATTGACGCCATAGCGCTACGATGGCGGCGCTACCTCTTGCGACGTTCATGGGGTCGCTCTGCGTCTGGATAGAGGCTACCCATTTGGCTAAAGTGTCATCCACGTCCTTGCGTGCATCGGCCACTTTCTCGTACTGCAAATATAAAGACAATGATAAGAAAGCGTGACATATTAGTGGTCGAGTTACGAAGCGATTGCGACGGCTACAGTGCCAGCAGAGAGCTGCGCCAGGTGTGAGAATACAGAGGAGACGCAGGGGAATAAGAAGACACGCACGTTGCTCGAGTGGATCAGCGCCTTGGCCCGCGCCACGACGCCAGAAGCTTCCCACGTTGCAATGTCGTCTGCCATGGTAGAGTTCTGTTGCGGTTGTTGGATGGAGAGCCTCTTGGTACGGATTGTGTAGAAAACACAAATATCTATTTCTAAAATATAGCCATTTCTAAAGGAACAGCCATCTGATCGTGAGCTTAGATCCGCTCGATGCAGCACAAAACGTTGACTTTGTACAGGCGAAGGAGACTGACAGCGACTCACGCAGAGTCAGACATCGCACTAGATACCGAATCGAACAAACAATAATTAGAGCTCAATTTGTTATCAAGAGCAAAATTCGACCTTATTTAATGTGGTCGAATTTTGTGAGATGGTTTCACTAAAAAAAAATCTATCTGTGAATACCTCCTTTATTTAAACACGTAGGAGCTTTTTGTTGTAATGCCGCTGATTTGCCCAGGAATTAACAAGTGAAGGGATTTTATATCGCAATCGAAGATTGCAGATCGATCTGGCTTTATGGTCAACAGCTCGTATCGTTTACATTTCGGTGAGTATCTCATTTTGGAATCATACCAGCCCTACAGTCATTCATATTCATCTATAGTCAAGTTGATCTTGTCACCCCAGAATGCCCACCACTCGTCACAAGTCAAATCGATGCAGTGTTCCAGAATGCACCAAGAAAGCACAGACTCGACGGCTCTGCAAGGCGCATGGAGGGGGTGTACGTTGTCGCAGTCCAGACTGTCAAAAGCTTGCACAAACTGGTGGACTCTGTGTCGCCCACGGCGGTGGCAACCGCTGTAGAACCGATGGATGTAGCAAACTTTCTCAGTACAAGGGGTTGTGCTTGGCTCATGGAGGCGGTAGGCGTTGTAACATCCCTGATTGCCACAAATTCAGGCAGATTCAAGATCTATGCAAGGCCCACCACAAGTCCCAGTTGACAGGATCACTGTCGCCGACAAAAGAACAGAAAACACTCGCGGTGAACGGCAAATTTTCGATTAACTTTCTAATGAATCTAGCTGAACCGACAATTCCCAGCTAGCGACCGTCTCCTCTACTTATTACATGAGTATTTTCTACTATTGATTCGAAGAAAGAAACAAAAACGCCAAATATAACACTTCATTCATTTCGTTTTCATTTTACATCAAAAAAACAAACAAACGTATTTTAGAGCTACAAGAGTCGACAGTCAACACATTAATACTGGCGGCGAATGCTCTGTTTCGGAGGATCCTGGCACTGGACGTGTTATGGTGCTCGGTTTTATGGGATTCATCAAAAACCCAATAGAAAACTTAGACATGGCAGGGCTCGAATTGAAGGTGTGGGTCGCCGTTAACGAACGCTTCGCAGTGGCAGAAACCATCTGCACCTTTGCGTGCAGCTTGCAGAGGTCTCGAATTTGTCTAAACTTTTGACAATCAGGCACACTGCAGCGCCGACCTCCTCCGTGTGCCAGACACAAACCTCTGTACTGTGAGAGTTTGGTACAGCTGTCGGCGGCACACCGACGGCCTCCTCCATGCGCGACGCATAAACCTCTGCTTTGGGCTAACTTTGTGCACTCTGGAAAGCGACAGCGAGCACCTCCTCCATGAGCCTTACACAGTCGATGAGTTTGCGCCTTTCTGGCGCACTCAGGTACGCAGCACAGTGGCACTTTGCGTTGAGTAGTGGATGTCATGTTCTTGACTGACAGGAGAGACTCTGAGTTGGCTGGCGGGTGTTGGAATGCGCCGACATTGATTTTTGTGATGATTGCGTACAATTAGGAGCCATCATCAATATTGTAAGCGTCGTGCTGCCCGAAGAATCGGCTGCATCTACTTTAAACCAGAGTTTAAACTTGCCATTTTTTTTTAAAAGTTGAGTCGATGTAACTATTGCCAGAACTATAAAATCCTGCATGGAGCGGCTAAATCTTACATTTTCTTTGACCTCGCAGGGATTAAAAATAATATGCATAAAAATAATGGGAAATACCAGTTAACTTTTTTTTTTTTTTTTTTTTTCAAACTCAAGCCCACAGGTACATGTAACCACGGCCAGACGTGACCAGGGGCCACGCCAAAAACGGCGAACCAGATAAACCTTATGAACGCGGTTCATGAGTTTTTCTGGCTCACTTGATCTATGTGGGATGTGCTTGAACCGAGGTGAACCGAAGCAGTGCGAACTATAAGGTGGGAATCGTGAACTTGCTACTACGGTAGTATTATTGGCTCGGACGTGCTGGTGAAACTGCAGCGCTAAGTGCGCGGCTCTTAGAGAGTGCGCATATCTTTACCGGTCGCAACTGAAAAACTCACAAACGAGATTTACTTCTTCTTGCGCAATGAACCAGCTCGTCCCAGCATCAGCAGAATCGAAGGTCTTGTACAAGAGCTCGTCGCCTGCACACCCCAACAAATTTTCACAGACATTGGTGAGCCTTCGTCTACAGTGCAGCAACTGTATCGCCAGAACAGACAGATTTCCCTCACTGAAGACGTATTTTATTAATTCTACTATTCTGTAGCGCGCTGTGGTTGCATGACACTCATTGGCTTACAAGAGCGTAGTGAGTGCGGCTTTACGTGAAAGTCGCAAAAGTACGCACCTGTACCAATCCCTATACCAGGAAACGAGCCAGAAACGAAACGCATATTGGGAAAGTTTGGAATAAATAGCAATTATGATCAAGCACTCAGTATATCGGAATATCATGCCCACAAACCGGTAAACACGTCCGAGTGAGCTGTTAAAATCGGTTTACCGGGCTTACATTTCGTTCAAGCCATGCATATAGCGTTTTTGCGATGGATGAAGCAAATTGCAAAATGACATGCATTGAAGCAGTGAATGCGGACAAACCAAATTTACCTCTCTTCACACTAAAGCTAACACGCATGTATGCAGCTTAAAGTGACGACTGAGCAAAGACCACTGACGGTGCCGCTCGTTGGCTGAGAGACATCCGCGTACTCAGTGGTCACCACACCGAAATTATGCGTATTTCGAAGTATGGCTAATTGGATGATTTGAGGGCACCACCGATTGCAACGCAGACCAAATTGCTGTTGACGCATCAACGTCACGGCCGAGATGCCTCGCCATTGGGCTGAGGTTATGAGGACGGTGCCGATATCGCGCAGTAGTTCAATTTTCACCGCTTAATCTTGCGCTGGCTTTGGCGGCGGTGTCAGTCGCCCAACAGCGTCCTCCAGTGCGAAACCTTGGTAATTCGCTTTGCATCTTCTCAGGATTACTATGCGTAGGACAAGTTGGCTCACCTGACCATGTATTGTAGTCGCTGACAATTTGGCGCTACTTAAGCAGCGTGGTGATGACGGATATTCAATTGCCCTCATCGGATGGTACAAATGGGGTGACAAGAGTGGTTAAAATTAAAATCGATTCGATTGGCTATTCCGACTCAGTCGGCTTTGCGTTTGTAGCACAAGCGATCGAGTCGACTCCATTCGGATTTAAATCCGATCAGGAGGCATCACGTGCCTGCGGGGGACCTGTCATATTCATAGTTTTACTTGGCTCTCAAAAATATAAGTCATCTGAGTCAACTTGAGTCGAATCGAGTCGCAACCGAATGCGTATCCAGATGCCACTTTCTAAGGGGAATCGCTACTTTGCATTGCAGAACTTACCTCCTCGTCCGGATTAAAATGGAACGAAAGCGGAGGTGGACAATGAGACGAAACGACCCAGACGGCATGGGCATTGCAGAGGAGCACACAGCTGACAGCCTTGCAACCTCCAGTGAACAGAGATCACGTAAGCGGTCAGATATATGGGAATTCATTAGCAACCATGGAAGTGGTAAATACTCGTGTAACTGTTATGAGTGAGAGGACTGGCCTATCACAAAGACAAGTACACTGACGGCACCGATGCATCTACATCAAAACAGACTAAACTGCTGTGCTACGGCTTTGAAAGGATTGCGAAGCAGCGGGTGGTGAGCTAGATTAGTAAAGCAGATGCCGACGTCGATTTTATCGATTGGGTTGTTGTAGTGGAGAGCTTTAACCGAACAAGTCTCCATCCACTCGCAGGGCATCGCATAAGTGCGATGCCGAGCTGGCGACTACTTAGGAGTTAGGAAACCACTCGAGAGCCTATAGGCGGTTCTTGAGAGTAAGAGGACAGAACAGAATCTACACATTAGGACTCACAATAGACTTGGGTTCACCAGGAAGCGCCAGCTTCCCTAGCAGAGTGTTATTCGTTTGACCTACTACAAAGAATTCTTTAGTTGCGAGGTCTCGCGACTACAACTGACTGAAGGACAATACGGACAATGGCCAGTGACGACGAGAACAGCCACAACCAGACCACGGATGGTCTGAATGCGGCCGAGACGGCTCAGAGCGCTGAGAGAGCGATGCCGACGACCTCGTCAAGTACGGCTATGGTGACGCGCGTTCCGCAACCGATCTTTGCGGTGGTTGCAGCCCCTAAAGTGACCTCCACCTCACGCGATTCGCTCATTCATTGGCTTAAGCTCCGCAAGGAGTACGAAGAAGCGACAATGGAGCGGTGCAAGGATGGAAAAGAGGACTTCGACACTGTACTGACGAGCGTGAAGAACTCCTTCGATGACGACTTGCTGACGACGTTGTGTGAAGCTAACTGGGGAGTGTCCAAGGAGGATTTGACAGACGCATATTTGCTGAAGCAGATTCGAGCGATCACGGACAGCTACCAGAACCAAGTGCTACCACCGGTGAATGAACTGTTTCGGACTGAATTGAAGATGAACATGGACAATCTCGACATTCAATCTCGTGTCACGGACTACTTTGTGTCTTGCAACCTGTTGATCAAGAAGTACGGGTTTGTTAGCTTTTTCGAAGGAGAGAAAGGGTTAAAGAAGAAATGCAAGCTGTTGATCAACTCGCTACCAGAGATGTTGAAAGAGAAAGTGGAAAATGAGATTGAGTACCGTTTCCCGGAAGCTCGGACGAGTGTACTGAAGTTATCGAACCTGATAAACCAGCAGGCTCTCGAGCAAGCGATTGAAGACAGAGCGCTAAAGAGGGGCAAAGAAGCATCGCGTAAATCGAAGTCTCATAATCAACCACGGCCCTTTCATGATAAAAAGCGTCAAGTGCAGGGACAGTATCAGCAAAAAGGAAAACGATCGAAGAAGGCGGACGGTCAGAAAGTCGAGAAATCTGAAGACAAAAAGGAAGTCTCGAGTAAGAAAGGAGTTCCAAAAAACGGATGTTTTCATTGTGGTGGAGAGCACTACCTCAGCCGCTGCCCGACTGCCACCAAAGAAGATCGTGAGCGACTCATCTCGAAAGAGAAGAAAGGTGAGAGACCTCCAGCGGGGAGGCACCGCTAATCTTCGACGTCTCGCCGAATGCCTGCCGACACAGATTCGCTCAATCGTGTTGGAAGACGCTTTTACAGTGGCTTTTTGTGCCGATAGCGGTGCAGACAGGTCCGGCATGAGCAGGAATGT